AATTAATATAGTCTGTATTATATATCCTCTGTGTATCAGGGTGGTGCTGGGGCATTAGCAAAGAAACACGGGGATGGGTCCCTCCTACTGAGGCTTGCTGCCTTCTGCCTTGGGAAGGGAAAAGCAGAGGCCATGGGAGGTGTCCTTGACCAAGTAATAGTTTTTTTGTGTGTGTGTGGTGCTGTATGTTCCTCTGCAAAATAGCATCCTAATTGCAAGGATTTCAGAGGGTTAAGAAAGGAGTAACGAAGACCGTGTGTGAAGAGGCTTCACCTACCCGCACTCCAAGGAGCAGCTCACCTGTGTGCTCTTCTGACAGGCAATGTCTAGACAACTACGAAGCAATTAGATCTGTAATGATAAAACCAACCCCCAGCGCTGACACAGTGCTGAAGACACACCTCATACTTTTCTGGGTCCACTCTGTGTGCTGCCTCATCATGAGTTCTTACAATCAGTACTTTAAACAAGAGGGGCAGAACTGCCTGGTGTGAGCTGGAAAGGAAGGGGTTAAATAGGAGGTAACCAGAGAGACTGTTGTGGCTCTGTGTCTACTGACAGGCTTGCTCTTTTGTGGTTAAACTACCTCAAAGCTAAACTAGGGTCTTATCAGAGACTGGTGCCAATGCACTTTCCAGTGGCCGCACAAACAGAACATCTGCATGCTCAAGGAGCCGCAGCTTCCTTGTAGGGACAGTTAGATGTGGTTTTGAGCCCTTCCCTTGTGGGCTTTTCCCAGAGGATCATGGGAAGAATTTCCCCAGTAGCCATATCCAGTCTATCCCTTATTCATAGGTAGAGGAGGAGAGGCCACCTTACCTTATAAATACACCACTCACCTCATAAATTATCCTAAGACTTCCTGAAAATCCACACTGCCCAGCCCAGTGTGCCGCTATACCCTTCAGACCCCACCATCTCCCACTCTCTCTGGACTGTGAGATTTGCCTGTTTTTTAACTATTTTTTCTGATCTGACTTCTTCGTTGTGAGTGTTGAGGTGAAAGGCTTTGCGGGCTAACGGATGGACAGCAAGCTGTGTCAAGAATGGGGTACTGAGGGACAGGCGTGGTTTAAGGATGGTGGTGGCACAGGCCTTTAATCCCAGCTCCAGGGAGGCAGAGACAGGCGGACCTCTGTGAGTTCGAGGCCAGCCTGGTCTGCAAATCAAGTTCCAGGACAGCCAGAGGTGCTATACAGAGAAACCCTGTCTTGAAAAAACAAACAGCAGCAACAAAAACAAAAACCAAAAACAAAGTATGATCTTCTGGCTGGTATGTAGCTCAGTGGTAGACTTGTAGGTTATGCAAGAGCCAGAAACTGAGTCTGTGTTAGGCTGTCATCATGATGCTAGTGTTGCAGACATTTAAAGACACAAGCACATATGAGCACACACAGGAGAAAGTGACATATTGCACAGGATAACGGATAATAACATTTTTTTTGTCTTTTCTCCAATTTTTCTATATTGGATTTTTTTTTTCAAGCGGGCAGTGAACTTCATGTTCCCCTGCTTTTATTTTTCGAAAACAAAAAGCCTTTTTTCCCCCACAGAATTCCAAAAGACAGCATCTAATTAAGTCACAGGTTAGTGTGCTGTGGGTGACTGTGCAAGGCCCCCTGTAACCCAGGCAACCTGAACGATCGGGCACTATGTTCTCCAAACCAGCCTAAGAGACACCCCTTGGCTGCTACACCCCTGACATCATTCTGAGGAACTGTTTGGTCCCAAAGTAAATTGAGCCCTTTCTTCCCCTTTTGCCTGAGGCCCAGTAGTACTCCTCCTCCTCCTCCTCTTCATCATCATCATCATCCTCTCTCTCTCTCTCTCTCTCTCTCTCTCTCTCTCTCTCTCTCTCCTTCCTTCACACACACACAAGAAATACCACACACTTCAAAGGTTTTATTGAAATACAAAATAAATAAAGAAGAGTGTGACTCACCATGCTTTTAAAGCTGTCTCCTCCCATTCTCGGTCTCTTCCAACAAGGGAGACTCACGCCATGTGCTTTTTCTCTAAGTTTAGCTCACATATGTAGCCATTCTTTTATGCAAACACTTTCAGGTTGTCTACAGTTCTCAGGCACAGCTAAGCCAGGGCTGCAAAGATGGGTAAGTCCTCCGTGAAGACCCAGTATGCAGTAAAGTCAGGCAAAGACATAAGCAATAGTAAGGGACCCAGTTAATGGATTTCTTGAAGGGAGAGGAGGTAAGAGAAAGAGTGAAGAGTAAGCTGGATGGTGGTGGCACACACTTTTAATTCCATAACCCAGAAGACAGAGATAGAGGGAGCTGAGTTCAAGGGCAGCATCGACTGCATAGTAAGTTCCAGGACAGCCAGAGTTACACAGAGAAACTCTGAATTGAAAAACAAAAACAAACAAACAGAAAACCAAAAAACAAACAAACAAACAAAAAGAGTGAAGAATAAGAAGGCTCTAATGGAATGAGAGAAAATGGCATTATAGTTTTTCTAAAAATAAAAGAGGTTTTAGGTGAGAAGTGATGCCTAATATATAAGCAGGGCATAATATCAGTCATAGAGATGACAGCGCAGGAAAGAAAATGAATGCAGAGAGAGAAGCACGTTCAAAAACCCCGAAGAAGGAAAAGCAGGGCAAATCTGGGCTATAGCAATGAAGTGAATTAAGTGATGTCACTCTGGGCATGGCTTCTCTAAGAAGCATTTTACAATAAGCCACGGTGACTGTATCACATGGAACTTCTGCCATGCAACAAGTCCCGGTTCCTCTACACTGCCTTGCTTACCGTTC